TGGAAGTGTAACTGATGTGATTCTGCAATCTGTATACGGGGTAAAAATGGGAGTTCATAACCCACTTGAATCAAAGTGTGAAATATGATATATCAAGAACTATGTAATGTTTTGAACAACCAACAATAAAAAAAATAATAAATAAATAAAAAGAAAATCACATTAAATTTTCACTTACTTAAGATAAAAGAAGACAGGGACATATCAGGAAACTCACATACATAATATTATATAGGTACTCAATTTCAAGTTAGCCACTTAAGTTCAAGCCAAGAAGCTAAGGGCAAAAAGATAGGGGGATGTGATAACTAAAGGTCACAAATGAATAGCCACAACTATTATTCTAGTTCATTTTTTTAAAGCAGCAGCCCTCCTAAGATAAGGTCTATTATATACATAAATATCTATAGGATACCACAGTCAAAGCAGTTTTATATTGGAAAGTACTAAGGAATCAAGAACAAATTAATGTAGAACATGTGATTATAACAACCTGTCTAAATACAGTATTTTTCCTTGATCCTTCTATGTCACATGTTCTTTCTAACTATAGTTACTGGAGCCTTGTAATCCCCTTCCTGGAACTGTTACATAATTTGTAATGCTTGATTCAGGCCACTGATAGTTATTAAAATTAAAAGGGAAAAGTGTTTTTCCCTTGAATGTATTTTATGACTACACGTTCTACTTTGAAAAGCTATAGGTTTGGACAAATATATACAACCTCTTTTGATAAGGTTTGCAACTATGTCCATGTTCATATCCTTCAGATTTGGCCCACAGAAAAGAAGTACTGCTCTCAAAGGGACTGACTTCACTATCAATACATAATATATTTCAACAAAAAACTGAACATTCCTTTGCCTTCACATTTTTTTTTTTTTGAGGGGGGCAGGGAAGTACTGAGGGTTGAATCCCGGGGCACTTTTTATATTTTATTTTGAGACAGGGTCTCCCTAAGTTACTCAGACTGGTCTTGAACTTGAAATCCTCTGCAATCTCCTGCTAGGATTATAGTCATGTGCCACCATGCCCAGCTCACTACATTTTAATTGAAGCATCTATTTCTGTAAGAAAACAATTTTTCTTTCTGCCTTGAGGCAAAATAATAGGCATATATTACAATCCAACTGGGTCTTTTTTTTTTTTTTTTCTTTTTTGCAGTGATAGGGATAGAATTCAGGACCTTACTTACACTAGGCTAGTGCTCTACTACTGAGCTATATCCCCAGACTTGGGTCATATGTTTTAAGAAAATTAATAAATTAATTACATAATAAYGTAAGGTGGGGGTTGTGGTTCAATGGTAGAGCACTTGCCTAGCATGTATGAGGCACTGGGTTCAATCCTCAGCACTACAAAAAAATAAATAAAATGAAGTTACTGTCCATCTACAACTAAAAAATATTTGTTTTTATAAAATAATGAAAAATGTAGGTAACATACTTAATTTCTCCATAATCTCTTCATCTGTCATCTTTGTCTTCTTTTTCTGTTTGTCTGAAGATTTGGCACCACTGTCGACATTTGAATCACCAACAGGTGCAGGAATGGGGTCAATTACAGACCGTGTATAAATCTGCAGAGATATAGTTCATTACTGAGATTTGAGAAAAAAATATTTTCAGATATTCTTACTGGAACACTAATTTTTTACCCAAAACTGTTATCTCTTTTTGTTCTAAAGAATGCAATATTTTCAGACTACAAAAAAACATGTATTGAAAAACAGTGTGAAACATTTTTCTTTGCCATAGAATAAATTTATTTAAAAGTATATCTAGCAGCCAGGCACAGTGGCACATGTCTGTAATACTAAGGACTTACGCACGAGGCTTAGACAGGAGGATTCCAAGTTCAAAGTTAACCTCAGCAACTCAGTGAGGCACTAAGCAATTTAGTGAGACCCCGTCTCAAAATAAAAAGTTAAAAAAGGGGCTGGGAATGTGACTCAGTGGTCAGATGCCCCTGAGTTCAATCCACAACACCAAAAAACTATAACTAGCAAAATARTAGGTCCATGAATAAAATTTATGTGTACCTAGATCTAAAATAGTAAAATGGACTGGGGGTGTACTCAGTGGTACAGTGAGTGCTTGCCTAGCACTTGTGAGGTACTGTGTTTGATCTTTAAGCACYACATAAAAATAAATAAATAAAATAAAGGCATCTACAACTAAAAATATTTTTTGAAGTTAAAAAAAATAAAATAGTATAACAACATAGTAAAAAACAGCTCAGTTTAAAAATGTTTTTAATAAAAAAGATGAATAAAATGCAAAAGACTAAAACTTTGTTGTTGAAATAACTATTACTAATTTCTATAAAACATTTTACACAAATATAATACCTACCCTCCCTTTCACTTCAAAGAGCCAGTTGTAAGGAATATAGAAAACACAGCCTTCTGTCATGAGATGGGAACCCAATGGCAGTCCTCAGAGCCACCACATCACAGTCGAGCCCCCTTAGTACTTCTCTCCCTGGCTCCATCTGAGCTCATTACTGTTGAAATTCTCCTCAGCTGGGGAGGAATTTCACTCTCAACTGTCTTTAGAATGCCATCAAGGCTTTGAGAGAAATGTCAAAATGAGAAATAAAGTACATAATCTGGGGAAGAGGAAAGATCTAAGTTTTAGATAGAAGAGTTACCCACATTATGAAACAGAGAAAAAAACAGATAAATAGATGACCTTTCTGGGAAAGAGGGCAAAACATGGAAAGAAAAAACCCAGGGGCTGGGGCTGGGGGGCTCAGTGGTAGAGCACCTGCCTCACATGAGTGAGGCATTGGGTTCGATCATCAGCACCACATAAAAATAAAAAAATAAATGAAGATACTGTGTTCATTTACAACTAAAAAAACAATAATTTAAAAACCCAGTGAAGGGGCTGGGGATGAGGCTCAAGCGGTAACATGCTCGCCTGGCATGCGCAGGGCGCTGGGTTTGATCCTTAGCACCATATAAAAATAAAATAAAAGATGTTGTGTCCACCGAAAAACTGAAAAATATTTAAAAAATTCTCTCTAAAAAAAAAGATAAAACCCAGTGAATTAAATATTCTAATTTTAAAGCAGCCATTAGATTTTTATTTTTCAAAAAAGTAGTTTTTGATGAGTACTCTTTAAGTAAATTCAATCTTAAATTAATTTTCTCATACTAAAATATTTTAAACTTGAAGACTTTTTKAAATAATCACTGAAAGTCAAATACAAATAGCTGTTTTTAGAAACACATACATACACAGATGCACACACCAGGTCATTAGCCAATCACTCACTGATTTCGTATGATCTGGTCGTGGGGCAATGACAGGAGGCGCGGCCTCTTCATCATCATCATCTTCCTCTGTTACTACAGCTGATGTTTCTGACCCCTTGGTGTTAAGCTGTGTTCATCACAGGAGCAAAGGAAGACAAGCCAGTAAAATAAAAAGGTTAAAATGTGACCATCTCTCTTTTTTTAAACATACTTCAAGAAGTTGTCTTTTCAATAGCTAATTTTAAAATTTTTAAACCTTACTACTTCCAATATAATCAATTAAAGAGTAAAGGTGATTTTATGAAATATGGAAAAATAAGTATATGAAATAAACATATGATAAACATTCTTGAGTACTATTTACAAACATAGTAGTTATTTACCTCTGATGGCTGAATTTATTTTAAAAAGCAAAATAAAAATTTGGTTTTGGTAACCTAAATTAGAATAAGAACAATAAGAAATCATGAACTTACTGCTGGTGTTCCAGAAGGGAAGCCATCCTTCTCTGAATATGAAAAAGAAAAGTATGTTAGCAATTCAAGAAAGAAAACTTTTATATGACAAAAAGAAAAATAATATAAAAGAGGAGCAAGTGAAATTTCTTAACCTGATTTCATTTTAAGTTGAATTATCTCCTGAGAAAAATGACAATAACAGTAATATAAATAATAATTTTTACAGAACTCAGCTAATAACTCAAATCTTAATGAAACCTCAAAAATACTTTTTAAAAAAACATGAATTGATACTTAAAATGGGTGAATTTTATTGTAAGCAAATTATACTTTTTAAATAAAGTTATTAAAATGTAAAGAAAACTATGATTATCAATCCATTTTAAAAATAAAACATTTAGGGGCTGAAGCTGAGGCTATGGCTCAGTGGTAGAGTGTTTGCCTGGTGTGTGTACATCACTGAGTTCAATTCTCAGCACCGCATAAATAAAACAAAAGGCTATCGACAACTAAAAAAAATAAAATAAAACATTTCTTGTTTAAGATACTTTCTCCAAAGAATTGCCTACCAAGGAACAAGGGATATAAAACCATCATTCAAACATGGCAACTGCGAAAAGCAGTATTTTTGATATAAGTTTTGTTTCTTTTTAAAAATGCAACTTACTTACTATTTGACACAAAAGTTCTAGGTAAAAGTCTGAACTTTTAGTATGGATATACCAGATTAAAGTAAAAAAGATCAAGATTAATATTACTTGCAAAGAAGTCTACTTCTTTTTTGAACATAGCCTTTATCTCTGTGATGATATAAACATATTAAATACAGTTAACTCAAACCACATATGATTTTTACATAATTACATTATTTTTAAAAACTAGATATATGACTTCAGAGACAGAGAAACATATAACTAGATATATGACTTTAGAGACAGAGAAACATATTAAATAAAAATAATATCCTGGGGGGTGTAAATGGCAAAATCTACACTGAGAGAAACAGGACAAATGATTTGCATCTTCTAAAGTAGAATGCAAGGAAGAGAAAGCAGGAGAACCAGCGTGGGGAAGGGGAGTCTAACTAAATCCCAAAAGACATTCTAGGGATCGCTCAACCAACTGCACCACGTGGACTTGATTCTGATGCTGATTTAAACAAACTATTTTTAAAAATCCAATATATTCCAATTCTTACCCACTGATATTCTAATTTTGAGGTTTAAACCTTTTAGTTATAATGTTTATTTTTATGTATTTACATTTTTTATTTATCTCAATTTTTGAGTAGAAAACCATTTTTTACTTCAAGGTCTGTGCATTTATATAGCAAAACTTCCTTCCATGCCACTGACAATAAACATATCTCTAGCATAAAGATGTCTATAAATCTACATCTTTTCCTTCTAAACTGAAAAGCAGTGAGGAGGAAAAAACCCCAAGTACATGTAACAACAAATAACACTATCACATTTAATTATAATGTATAAAAAAATCTGGAAAAAATTTAAAAYATCCTAACATTTCTAACAAACTATGAGAGTAATGTAATCCTCAGACTCCAGATGATGTTTAAGAGCCACCGGATAGTTAACAAAAAGCAGATTCCATACAGAAGAAAGCAGGGTCAAGAAATACAGCTTAGCCTTTTATTTTTCCAGAAATAATCTTTTTATCTAGCAGTGCTTTACAATTTTCCATATGATTCGGTCTTTTACCACCATCTGATGTCTTACCAGGAGGAGTAAAACTGAGATATTTCTGCTTTACTGTGTTGGAGTCATAGAACTTTAAGACATCCAGCACAGCTTGAGGATTCTTCTTTTGCTCTAGTTTGGTGATATTGGAGGTCTGTAACAATCGAGCCCACTGCTCTGGCATGCCCTAACAAAAAGAGATTCAGAAATGAGTTGTGGTTTGAATTGCTCTAATAAAATTAATTTTCAAAGATAAATATCAAAATACATAAAACAAACCAATACACATACTTTTAGATTTGAGTAAATTCTAACTGGTCTAGTTTTCTAAAGGTCTACTATTCCTATATTTATTCTGCATAATTATAACTAATAGGCTCAGCTCCCCTAGGGGAAAAATCACACACTACTGCTAACACTTAAAAGAAAAAGCAATAAGAACTAATAATTAACTTGTGGGCAGAAAAGTTAACTTCAAAGTTAATACCACAGGAAAAAGTTTGAGTGATGTTCTAGTGTTATAATAAACAAAGTCTAACAAGGTATAAAACTTACAGTAAATTCTCCAGTAACAGCATCAAAGCCAACATGGATGGTGTGCTCAAAATCAGATGGAGGCGAAATCTCTGGCCGTTCTTTTTCTTTCTTTTTACTTCCTAGAAGGCATTCAGAAAAAAGAAAAAAGTATTTAAACAAGGTTAATAAAGGCACTTATAATCATATGTTGACATTTTTCCTAAAACAGATTAGGAATAAAGTTATTCAAGGAAAGACAATTCCCTTAAAATACTGTCTGAGCAGAAACCAGTAAATGAGGTAAAGTAACCTATACTGTTGTAAAGATGTGGGGACCTGTCAAACAGTTTGGAGACCACTTCTTTATAGAACAAACTTAATCCCTCCTTCTTACTTAACAACTGCTGTATTTTAAAACAGTTTTGGAATGATCCTACTCTTGTACTTTATGTAACATTTACACCTCACAACTATCAATTACATTCTCTGTAAATTCAAACACATCAGTTCCCTTTCTCCCTCCCCAAATTCCTCTGCTTGAATCTGCAGGTCTATTTCTGAATGTCCTGCTCTGTTACAATGACCTGCTTATCCACACCTTTATGCCAACACCAGTCTGCCTCAATTTCTGTCAGTTTTAATAAGCAATTTAAGTACACAGATTAAGTTCAATTCATCATCCTGTCTTTGTTCTTCTCCTCCTCTTCTTCTAATTCAAAACTACATGGATATTTCAGGTCTGCCTCATTTCCATATGAATTTTAGAATAATCTTGTTAAATTTCTATAAGAAGCCTGCTGGGATTTTGATTGAAACTGTCTGAATCTATAGAACAATTTAGAAAGAATTGATTTCTTAACACTGAGTTTTCTCATCCATGAYAACAGCGAATCTCTCCATTAGTCAGGACTTTTTGAATTTCTCTCAGAAATGTTTTACAGCGTCAGTTTACAGAGTACAGATCTATCACAGCTKTTGTCACATTTCTGCCACAGTACTTCTTACTAAGTTGCCCAAGCTGGCCTCAAACTTTGGGATCCTCCTACCTCAGCCTCCCCAGTAGCTGAGATTATAAGCATGTGCATGTGAAACTGTACCTAACTATACCTTCACTTTTTAATATCCATAAAATCTGCAGAGATGGGATCTACTTCTTTCATTCTCTCTCAATTCGGTAATTTTTATCTTCTCTCTTCCTCCACCAGTCTGGCTGGAAACTTATTCATTTTATTGGTATTATAAATTAATCAGTTTTTAGTTTCATGATTTTACTACTTTTTCTTTCATTTCACTGATTTCTGCTTTGACTCATCATTTCCTTTCTTCTACTTATTTTGGATTTGGATTACATTTGCTATTCCCTTTCTAGTTTATGAAGATGGCTTAGCTGGCCAGGTGCAGTGGGTTGGGTGCAGCTCGGGAGGCTAAGGCAGGAGGACTGCAAGTTCAAAGCCAGCATCAGCAAAAGTGAGGCACTAAGCAACTCAGTGAGACCCTATCTCTAAATAGGGATGGGGGTATAGGTCAGGGGTCAAGTGCCCCTGAGTTCAATCCCCAGTATCCAAAAAAAAAAAAAAAAAAGATGGCTTAGCTAAAGTCACTGATTTGAAATTTCTTTCTTTTCCAATACTGTAAAACTTCCTCCAAGTAGGGCTTTAGAGATMKCTTATTTTAAAATTATTTTCAGTTGTAGATGACACAATACCTTTATTTTATTCATTTATTTTTTATGTAGTGCTAAGGATGGAACCCAGTGCCTCACACATACTAGGGAAGCACTTTACCACTGAGCCATAACAGACCAGCTTTAGATATTTTACAAATATTGATGTTTTTTAATTTTCATTTTTATTCAGTATGTTTTCTAAATATCCTTTCTTTATTTGGAAGTGTTTTATCTACTTTCCAAATATTTTCAGAGGGTTTCCTGTTACTGATTTCTAATTAAATTACATGTGTTCACATAATACACTTTATATTGTTTAAATCCTTCTACATTTATTGAGATGTTTTTTWAAAAAATTCCTCAAATATGATTTATCTTGGTGTATGTGCCATGTACACTTAAAAGAATTATGGATTCTAACTGTTATTGCATGGAATGTTCTATAAATATCCATTAGGTCAAGTTCGTTGTTATGTTCAAATGTTCTAAATCCTTACCAATTTTCTATCTAGTTGTTCTATCAATTACTGAAAGAAGTGTATTAAAATCTCAAGTTATAAYTGGATTTGTTAATTTCTTCTTGAAATCCTTTCAATTTTTATGTCATGTTTTTTGAAACTGTTAGCAGTGCATGTTTAGCTGCTATATTATCTAAATGATCTATCACGAAATAATTTTCTTAATCTGACAATATTTTTTGAGCTCTAGAATCTAGTTTGTATGATACAGAGTCAGGCCAAGTTTATGATGCTAACATAAGKAGCCCTTATTTTTTTGTGGTACTGGAGATCAAACCCAGGGCTTTGAACATACTAAGCATTCTACCACTGAGCTAAACCCCCAGTTTTAGCATACTTTTTATTTTAACCTATCTTATGGCTGGATGTAAAAAAGCGAATTTCCTGTAGAGAGCATGTAGTAGGACTACTTTATCAATCTTTTCTGCCTTCTTTTGGATTAACCAAATTTTTTAAAATTTTTGTCCTTTACTGTTATTTTTTAATATGTGGTGCTGAGAATTGAACTCATTGCCTCACACATGCTAGGCAAGCACTCTACTACAGAGCTACCACTCCAGCCCTAACCGAGTATTTTTTAATCATCTCCTTTCATCACCTTTGTTGTTATGTTAGCTTTTTAAACTACATAATTCAATAATTATGTAGTTTAATAATTCAATGGCTTTAGTACATTTTTTAATTTTGCAACCATCATCACACTCTAACTAGAATATTTACATCATGAGCAGAAGAAATCTTGTACCCATTAGTGATCATTACTCCCCATTCCATCGCCTATGTCACCACAAATCTTAGGGATACCACTAATCTATTTCCTGTCTCCAAAGATTTGCCTATTCTGGCTAATCATATAAATGGGATCATATAATTCATGGTCTTTTGCAAATAGCTTTTTTTACTTAATATTTTTTGAAATTCATCCATGTTATAGGATGTTCCAGTACTTCATTAAGAATATGATTATTTTWAAAAAATATTTAGTTAAGAGAAAAATATAAGCACCAGGCACAGTGGCGCATGCCTGTAATCCCAGCAGCTCACAAGGCTGAAGGAGGAGGATCTTGAGTTCAAAGCCAGCCTCAGCAAAAAAAGCGAGGCATTAAGCAACTCAGTGAGACCCTGTCTCTAAATAAAATGCAAAATAGGGCTGAGGATGTGGCTCAGTGGTCAAGTGCCCCKGAGTTCAAACCCTGGGATGAAAACAAACAAACTAACATATTCCAATGCTTTTCATTTCTTAGTATAGACCCACATTTCACCTGACATCATTTTCCTTCTGTCTGAAGGACCTGGTTAAACATTTTTTTGTAATATAGTGTGCTGGTGGTAATTTTTTTTTTTTAAGTTTTCATAATCCCACTTCCCTTTTTTTTTTTTCCGATGCTGCGAGACAGAACTCAGGGCCTCACATATGGTAGTCAAGTGCTGTACCACATACACCACAAGCTTTATTTTTTTTTAATGTATATTTTTAGTTGTAGGTGAACACATACCTTTATTTTATTTTTATGTAGTGCTGAGTATCAAACCCAGTGCCTCATGCATGCTAGGCAAGCGCTCTACCTCTGAGCCACAAACCCAGCCCCACCACCAGCTTTCTGCCATTATTTTTAAAGTATTCTTCAAGTATTTCACCCCTCCCTCCAAGACTTCAATTATACATATGTCACTCTTCCAGAGGTTGTCCCACRGTGCTGTTTGTTTTGTTTTGCAGGGTTTCTATTGCCCTATCTTCAAATTCACTCATCTTTTCTTCTTTAATGCCTACTCTACTATAAATCCAATTATTTAATTGCGCTGTTCCTCATCTCAAAGAGATCACCAATTTCCTTCTCCCTGTGCTGCAGTCTAGAAACTCTCCGGGCAGAAAGCTCAATCAATGGTAGGGCTTACCTCATTTGTTTCTTTTTAATCATTTTTCTTCATTGCCTGTTGTTCACTGTCTTGAAAACCATTGTTTTGTATATTTTTTCCATTACTTTAGTTCTTTTAGGTAGGAATATAAACCCAGTCCCTGTTGCTCCACCTTGACTAGAAGCACAATATTTCACTGTTCTACCTGTAGTATTATAAAATTTGAGGATGCTGTGATCTTCATTCATTAACTGAGCTGAGTTCACAGTGAATCCACATCCATCTGGAAATAATATTCTTCAGATCTGGGACATTTTTTTCCATTATTTCTTTGATATTTTCTTCACTCTAATTTGTTTATTATCAGTAATTTGAAATTCTCATCTTTTCCATGCTTTTGCTTTTTTGGTACTCTGTCTCTAAATAAAACGTACAATAGGGCTGGGGATGTGGCTCTATTGAACCCTGTACCCGACAACCCAATTTTATTTTTTGAGACAGGGACTCGCTGAGCTACTGAGGTTGGCTTCAAACTTGTGATCCTCCTGCCTCAGCCTCCTGAGTCACTGGGATTATTACTGGTATATGCCACCATCATCTGGCCCCATTGACATATTTTTGTTTAACTCTTTGGGAACATTTTCTTGATTATCTTCCACTCATCCTTCTATTGATATCTCTTGTATGTTTTGGTAAACTTTTTAAAAATATTTTTATTTGTAGATGGACACAATGCCTTTATTTTTTTTTAATTTTTTTTTTTAGTTGCCAATGGACCTTTATTTTATTTATCAATACGTGGTGCTGAGAATCAAACCCAGTGCCTCATACATAGCTAGGCAAGAGCTYTATCACTGAGCTACAACCCTAGCTCCTATTCTGGTAATATTATATATTGAATTGCTAATAATTATTTCTCAATATTTTCTAAGTATTCTTTTCTCGTTTCATGGGTTCAATTTATCTTCTTTGAAGATTATACAGTATATGTGTATGTGTAGTCTGAGTTTTGAGATTTGTTTTCTCTCTACATTGTCTGTTTTTCTAAATGCCCTAATGCCCTTATAATTTTTTTTCTTTCTTTCTTCCTTTTTTTTTT